TCTGTCTGTCTGTCTGTCTGTGAGAGGTGTGCAGCTGTTACGTATGGACCGGCAAGCATAGCGATCATGTTTTTGGGACAGTCAGTGGCAGATGAGCGATGATCAATAAGGTTGGAAGACTTTGAATATACCGGCTTTTCTCCTCTCTCCTCTCTCTTCTCTTCTTTCTTTCTTCTCACTCTTTCCTTCTAAACCCATCCACTAGGCTGGAAAGGTGGTGGTGATGAAAAGGATGCGCTCTCGCTGAACAGGTTACGGTATTGTGTAGTAGGGTCTTTTAACATTTTCCTAGTACCTTCTTTTCTTCTCTTTCCTTCCAGCTATCCCCTCATTCTTCAGTGTTGTAAATGTGGGGTACTAATGTTTGCTAGTCTATTGAGTTGGGCCGCTTCTTTTCTTGCGTTCCTTCACTTTTCATTCCACCTTCAACTGTAGAATGTGGACCGGGGAAAACATTGTCTAAGGGTGCAAGAGAGGGAGACAATGGGGACAAGGCGGCCGGGAAGTTATATATATCGAACAAGATAACATGCCCACACCCCCACACTCATGGGTAGGTGAGGATCTGACCTCTCCTAGGGGATGAGTATGGTCCCCTCCAAGAAGTAGCTGACTCCTTTGGTATGAGTGAGTTTTATTTTGGCAGGTCGAATGTCTTTTGGCCAGAATCCTAGCTTTGGGCAGACTGGAATCACTGGATCCTCGAAGCACTGCTGTTTTGGACCCGGTTTTCAATTGAACCACCAGTACCTTTCCCCCCTTGAAAAAAAATACTGTGGCCTGGCTCAGTTGGTTAGGCAGGCAAGTGGCATTCAGGAGGTTGTGGGTTCAAGCCCCATGGCCGCCTGCGGCGCACTTAGTGCCAACCGACGGTGATAGTCCTCTGGATACCCCTGATCCGTATTAGCGGGCGGTGATAGTCCTCTGGATACCCCTGGTCGGTATTAGCGGGGTTTATGACCAACACGGTTGTGAGTGTGAGTGCGAGTGGGTTGTGTGTGGTGTGTGGGAGAGTGTTGCTACTCGATGAGGGGTGGGGGACGATGAGGAAGGGAGGCTCAGCTACTGGCAAAATGCTCGGTCTTTGCGTTAGCCCGACCCCCACTGGCGGCCACACCCCATCTCTGACTACAGCTGTTGGGGTGGGGGGCAAACGTGAATCACCTCGTTTGCGAGGCCCTATGCTTGCAGGGGTCCCCTCTATATAGTCTTAGGAGTAGTGGTAGGAAGGTAGTGAAAGGCAAAATAGAATTTGAGAGAAAAACATAGTGTAGTTAAAAAAAAAATAATAGTAAAAATTGCTGGTGGCGCCACCCATATATACATCCATGTCGATCTGTTCTCCTTTGCTATGCAGGACGAATTTGGGCCTGCAGCCTATATAATATGGGAAAGATACTGCGGGTTCTGCGCATTGGAATAACATTGTAACATTGAGGCCCCTGTTGGCAGCCCGTAGGAGCTGCGCTTACCATGCTGGATTTTTGTCGTTTTGTGTCGAACATGCTGGTGGTCGTTGGGCATGTGCCGGTAGCCGGGGTGTCAGATGGTCCTTGGGAAGGTGGCAGGATTAAGGGCAAGGGGTTACAGTGGTGGGGAATCCGTTCACGACCTGAAGCTGTGGGCGGCGGCCGAAATTTTGACGGCCCGCCGTTAAAGACCCGTAGGTTGTGCAGTTGGGGTGCCACGGGGTTTGAGGGGTTTTGCCAAGTTGTTTTCTTCTGTCTTTGTCCGATCTGTCGGTAGGATCCGGTGGAGTGTGGATGTAACGTCATCAAAAGTGCCCGTCGGATCTCTGGAGTGGATGTGAGATCGGGCCTAGCTCCACTGCTCACCAAATGTGCAAAATGAGAATGAATATCCCGCTAGAGCATGGCAAGATACACTGCCATTTTTTTATTTTTTTTTGGTACCAACTTTTTTAAAACCGGGGAAACGGGCCCGGTGTCCCTCACATGAACGACGTGGTCACCCAGGGCTGAAAAAGGCACTCTTGGCCTATCCCATCCCCAAACAACATCATCCACCCTCTGAGACCCGGGCATCAATAGCATCATAGGCCCTATCACTGCCATATTTTTTGTCCTACGGGCACCTCGCCCATCAACGCGTGCAGTTGGTACCGGGCAGATGCATCTGCCCGAAGTAAGAGTCCAGGTGCTCCCTAGTGAGGAGAAGACAGCTTTTATTTAAAAAAAACGGAAAAGAACAGCAAAGACCGTCCTTTTTTTTTTCTTTTTTTTTTTGAGAAGATACCAGATTTATATTTCCAAACAGAGTAATCAAAGAGGCCGGGGCCCTCACAATTCAACCGGGACGGAACCTGCTGGGGACCGACCCACAAAAGCAAAACCTCCTAAAAACCGGGCCCAGGATCACAGCTACTCTGTAACCAATTACTACTCTTCTCAAAAAATCACTTGAAGCTCAGGGAAAAAGGTGCAGGGCGACTAGTCTGCTAACATCATCGCCTATTGGTCTCATGCCCTGACTCTGTGCTCTCAGACAAAAGTTAAATGCCACTATTTCAACCAATTCAAAAGGAATAAACTCTGTTGTATCCCTCTGCTTAGTCGCACGTGTCCGAGAGCCATTTGCAGATGATCATTCTACCTTCCTGGTTGACTGTGGCTAACTTATTACCTCTAGCCCAGGTTCTCTGGAACCAGATTAGGTTTTTCTTTTGCCAGTCAGCTCTCACTATCAGCCTGATGTTCTTTTTGATGAGTCTCTGTTGTTGACAGGTAGGTAGTGTTTTGCTGCGGAAAACTCTAGCATTTCTTGCTGTCCATATAGCATCCATGATTGCCCCTCTACAAACGAGGGCTAGGTATCCTAGTTCCGAGGAGTAGCTAAGTCCTGCAGGAAGGAGGCCTGTTAACATCCAGTGGTAGGACCAATCAAATGCGCCTCCCGAGATGTGAAGCCAGTTCCTTTTCCACCACATAAGAAGTTCATCTGCTAAAGGGCAGAGAAGCCATAAGTGAGCCATGTTCTCCCACCCCCAGTCGCATCTCTGACAGGTGGTGGAACGTCCATTCCCTTAGTGGATAGCCAGATTGCCGTGGCTGTTACAAACAGGGATTGTATCCACATAATACTAGCATGCTTCTGTACTGGGGTTACAGTAAGTCCTTTCCAGAAGCGTCTGAGTTTCTGTTCCGAAACCCCATCAAGCGAGCGGGTCCGTGCTCGACTGACCGCCAGTGATGCTGGGGTCCTGCTCAGCTGTGCTTGTTGAATCTGGACTCCAACTTTAGTGCCACATACTGCATCAACGGGATGAAAGACGAGGCAGACGAGCCC